TGCCGGGGAGGGAGGGAGGTGTGAGTGGTGTAAACGCCCAGGTGTCTGCGAGGGCTGGCGGTGAGGGGCCGGTTGCGGGGCCGTTAACAGCAGGGCTCCTTGAGGTGGGGGGGCCGCACCTACTGGTGTCGTCGGGCTTGATTCGCTGCAGTAAAATTAGCAAGTACACCCCGATGTCTGCACGTGATGGTGTCTCGATGAGGTTAATAAAATACAGCCGCCTGCCGTGCTCACCTTGTCTGGGTTTGTCCGCTGCCAGCCCCCAGCCTCCGCCGCGCTGGTCCCAGGGAAGGAAACGTGGCGCAGACGGAAAGCGGAGGAAGCAGAACGAGTCGGATTCATCCGTCTTTGATGAAAACAAGAACGGGCCTTCTGACAACAGGATGGACAGGTAGGCAACGCCTGCGATAGACGCAACCCTCTGTTCTTTTGTTCATCAGGAGCTGTTGAATCAGCTACTGTGCCTGTTTTTTCAAGCCCTGCCTCTTTATAATAACGTCGACCAGAAACGGCTGGTCTGAAAGGAGGGAAAGGAATCTAGTGCAGTGTTCTCGGATCTTGTAGTTGCCCCTTAAGAACAAACATTTCTCATTCGTATGTCTTGAATTGTATCACTCGTGATTTTCTGCCTTATTCTATGCTTTCTTACGGCTATGTATCACAAAACAATAACCGCCTAAGCCAGTTAGGGTTGGTTGTGGATATAGGCTGTACATGCTGTGGTGGTAAAATTAAACAAGATGATTAAAGATAGAAGTCTTCATGTTTCTGAAGGCAGTACAGACCATCTTGAGAAGCTGCGTGTAAGTATGTCAGCACCGGTGTGGTGGGGTCCACTTCTGAGGTTTCTCACTCTGCTTGCTGTCTTCCTAACCAATTCCCAGCACAGGTACACTTCGGATTAGTGAAAGTATTTTAAATCACTGTCTGCATCTGAGCTCTATTCATGCCACCATCCCTTTTAATAGTGGATGGGAGTTGTGTCCTCCAGCCCAGTTGATTGAATTTAGATTTCTAATCTAGGATGAGGTGGGTCGTACCCTGTAACTACCCAGTTTGCTTTGCTGATAACGAGCAGGGAAGGCATAGGTCAGCGTCTCAAATTACAATACCCGGAGTAAATTAATTTAAGTTTGGGAAGTGTGTTTGAATAGGAGTCTAAAGGTGAAACGTCACAGATTGCTTTTATCACTTTCAACCTAAATAAGCAATGCCTTTGTGTTTTCCAGTATTGAACTGGACAGGTGTACTTCCTGGTTTAGTTTGGACTCAGCTTTGATTGAAGTTGCTCCCTCCCTGGGCTAAAACTACTTTATGCCAATTCAACATTGTCAAAATAAAAATTGAAAATGTGAAGAGGATCAGGATGGTGGCTGGGTTACACAACAGATTCAGCCTGGGGGGTGGGTGTGGTTATAGCCGTGTTTTTCTGCCTCTGGCAGAGTTTGAGCACCATTTGCAGCCCTATCGCAGTACCAGAGCTCCTCACCAAGCGTGAAATGGCACGTGGGGGTCTGAAGAAAGACAGCTAGGCTTAGTATGCCTGGCACCAGTACCGTCACAGAACAAATTAATCGAGAGAAAAATCTGGTGACCCTTCCACGTTCTCCCTAATTCTGTGTATAGACAGCACAGGTACAGAATCAACCAACCATAAAAAGGTGTGATGCTGTTGAGGAAAAAGCTCTGGGGTGGGACTAACTGAGTACTCCTGGGGACTATGCCTTTCTGTACTGTGGGAGAGCAAGAATCGGATGTGGCCTGTATTTTCTGCAAAGTTAGACATCGATATAAGCAAATGCTAAAAACCCTTGGAGGTTGGACAGATATTCACAGAGGGACCTGTACTGTCTGCTGTGGATTTTTAACTTTTCGGAGTTGGTAACTGGGTTTCGTTTAACAAACTTCTAGTTTGAATTTAGCAAAAACTTCCAAGTGTAATGCAAGCCGATTTCTGAGCTGGGAGGCAGTTGGAACTGGTTTTAGCGCATATGGATCTAATTCCCTGACTTAAGGGACTTTTTTGTGCGAATCCTGGTAGGTCTCCAGAGTGTTTCCAGATCCACTGAAAAAGTTCTAGTCTGTGGGATATAGTTTTGAGTTTGTACTTTAGGAGGATCGGTCATGGGGAGGACAGAAACTAGAAAACACATTCAATGATCTGAATGTAGGCAATTGCTGTTGGCTGGGAAGGGGTCCAAATTTATTCTCCTGCAACAGGCTGAAGCTCCTTGTGATGGTAATGGGCTACAATAAAGCTGTTAAATACCAGTTTGCAGAGTCACAGGAAGTCTCGGTTCACTGACTAAAAATTGACTGTCTTTTTTTGTGCCTTTGCCTTCTCTACTAGGTTTATTTTCTCATGGCTAAACTCCAGGTGTTATCGTGTAATTTTAATTAATTGGCTGTACAATTGAATTCTGTGTTCTGACTTGTCTCTTATATAGCTGATGAGTCTGCAATCATGAAAGAATAAATATTTGTTAACTCATTTGGTGGAGTGAAAATAAGTGAGTAAATGAGTAAAGTTGGGATTTCACATACCGTTTTTGAAGGACACCAGCTTAAAGTTATTGAAAATGTAGGGTAGGTTATGTGCTGCACTGGTATGTTTCTATAGATACCTACATACACCTTTTAAACAAACCACGTAACTTTTAAGGTGGAACTCTCAACTGAAGCTTTATTTTTCTACAATGACATTTTAATAGAAGAATACAAGATTTCCACAGCCATTGTGAGTACTGTAAATGAATATATCGAATAGCTATCAAGCTGTAAATGGGGGAGGTACTGGGGGTGAGAAATAAATAAAATAAAATTTTAATAAGGAGGCTTTTTTATTTTTCCTTCCTAGTTTTACAACACCAGAAGGCCCTGGACCCCTTTCCCGGTGTTCAGACTGGGGAACTGCAGTGGAAGAAGATGAAATGAGGACCAGCGTTAACAAAGAAATTGCAAGGTACCTGTGGGTGTTTAAGATGAATTGGGGAAAGGAGAAGAAATGGAAGTTGTCTTGTAGAATCTGTATTACTTTTAACTTTTATTGTTGTAGCAAAATCAGACCAACCTTAGCTGCTTGTCTCCGGCTTTTAGGTCAGCTTTGGTGTAAGTCCTGCAGAAATGGCGTAACATACTCTCTAGAGAGTTGATGTGCATCACTAAATCTTTCCCTTTTGAAATAATCCTTTCTGAAATCTCTTAAAGTGAATAACTTTGAATGTTTTTTCAGTAATTACTGGCTTTGCACATCATTGCTATAAAAAGATTTTTAGGGAAAAGACTTAGGAAAAGAAAGTCCTCAGATTGGTTTTTTTTTAGGGGAAAACTAAAACATCGATTCCGTAGTGGAGAGGCGTTTACAGCGTCTGTATTGACTTCAAGCCTACTGCTTAGCTGGGAAGTAAAAACTCTGAGCTGTGACAGTGCAGCCTTGCATGTTCTCTTTGCATATGTTCTTAATATGGATTTGAACTCTTACAGATACAGAAGAAAACTCTTGATAAATGAATTTTCAAGAGAAAGGAAATCCTCCTCTGGAAGGTAGGTTAAATTTCTAGCTTAGCTGAGGAAAATCCTGACTATAGGTCTGAATTTTCACAGATACTGTTGTTGCTTCTGAAAATGCTCAGTTTGAAATAGTTCATCTTAAGTCTGCTCTAACACTGTAGTTCAGTAACATCCCAAACATTCATTTGAAAAGTTTTAACGTGTTTCTTTATCTTCTGTGTGTGGGTTTGTTTGAGTGTTGCTTGTTTTCTAAGAGTCCCAAATCTACAATTTTTTTTTTCTTTAGTTCTGATTCAAAGGAGTCCACTGTGACAGCGGAGCTTGAGACAGATGAAGTGGTTTTGATGAGAAGACAAAAACAGATCAACTATGGTAAAAACACAATTGCGTACGATAGGTACATTAAAGAAGTTCCCAGGTAAGGTTGAGTTTCTGGAAAGATAAACGTGCCATTATGAATCATACCTGTTCATGTCCATGTTAACATAATACACTTTGTATTTGAGACACGTTCAGAGAGAAGGCATCTGCAAATTAAACTTTTCAAGACCTTTTTTAACCAATAAGTTACACTGGCAATCAAATGAAATGTAGGCTATTTTTTTCCTACTGGTTGATACATGAGGATTATCCCTTGAAACTTTCTCGTGCTGCAGAAATGGAAGTGAAAGTTCTTTTGGTTGTGCTTGTCAACTAGAAGAAGTGAAACTGCCTCTTGCAGTCAGCTTTCTCATTAGTAATCTGAAAGACAAAACGGCCTACAGTTGCTCTTAGGTTTTCTGGGCTTGAGTCAAATAAAAAAGGATTGTCAATCATAAGTTTAGGATAAGGTTTTCAGACCTAAGAAGTTCATATGGAGCTGACAGCTTTCCACTTGTGTGCTGGCACTGTGAAATATTCTTTTCTCATAAATAATGCAACTTAGAATTCGCTGCGTTGTAAGGAGCCTGCATAGCAGGCAGCCAGTCTGAAGATTTAAAACTACGTTTTTCATGTCTAATGTCTGCATAGATGCCATCGTATACCAGGAGTTCATCCCAGAACTCCAAATAAATTTAAGAAGTACAGCCGTAGGTCATGGGACCAACAAATCAAACTATGGAAAGTCGCATTGCATTCCTGGGATCCGCCTGCTGAAGAAGGATGTGATCTGCAAGAAATGTATGTATACAGTATCCAAGATACCTTTATAGAAATTAGCACGTAAGATCTCAGGTTAAAAAGAAATGGAAAGCCCAGCGTAGCCCTTTTCTGAGACAAGTCAGTTATCACTGAATGTGTTCGTTAGTGACTTCTTCCACACTCAGGGCCGTTCAGTTCCTTCTCGGCCAAAATACCTGATCGCTTCCTGGACCTAACTGCTGGGACCAGGCTTACCCTGTGCCCTTGCAAGGGCACACACTTCTTCAGTGTGTGTCCCCTGGGTGAAACCAGTGCTCTGTAAAAGAAGGCACTGCAGCACTGAGGCAAGCTGATTTCTTTCTGAGCAATCTGTAGATTAATCTGTGGCAGCAGTGCTGGAGAGTTAACTAGTTAACGGATCTCACGAATACCGAGCTTGGACCAATACAGCGTACGAGAACCTGCCTCACCGCCTTCTCGTGTTCTAGTTCAAGAACAGTGGTATGAATTGTTGTTTCTCGAGCAGGCGGAGAGGAGGAAAGAAGTACTTGTAAAATCATCTCAAGGTACCATTGTATCAAAAGCATGGCCCCAAGTGTTCGCAGTTGGAGCTGCTGTGCCATTCTGCTCTGGAAGATGTAGAATAATGCGGCTAGTTAGTTTTCTGTATAGCAAACAATAAGGCTGAATATCCAAAATAAAACTGGGACTACAGAATGACAGGGACGCAGATGTAGCTAATTCCTCAGGAAACAGTTTGTGGTAACAAACTACTGTTTTTTTCCCTAACAGTAATGCTTGTTTTTTAAAACCAGTATGGAGCAATGGGATCTGCAATCAAAAGCTTACCTTTTAGATTCGTCTTGTAGTTGACACGAGGGGAGCTGCTATTTTGGCCTGAAACCTATTGTATATGTTGGTGCTGAAATACTAGTCTGTCTTCAGATGCTGGGGTCTAGTTCTGTGTATAGTAGATGTTAAATCTTACGTTGCAAAACAAATTGATGAAAGCCTTGTCTGGAACAAAAACAATTCCTTGCTCTTCCATAACATTTGTCATCGTTTGTACTGAGGCATTGTTTGAGTGTTGGGATTTGTCTTTGACAAGCTGCAGTGTTCAGTCCCAAGGCTTTAGTTTAATCCTTGGCCATTTTGGCTATATTGAGTTGGCCTGCTGTCCTGTCTGGCCCCTGCACTTTGCTACCACTGGCCCTATAGTCTTTGCAGTTCTCTTTGCTCTTGTTTGGCCATTGTTTTCGGAACTGCATCTACAAAGTGTAATTTACTACTTAAAAACTGAATTTGTTTAAAGCTTTTTAATTATTTTACAGTAGTCCTGTTGACCTTGGTGAGATGGAGACAGAATCTATTGGAAGCAGTTCTACTGAATCTCATACCAGCTATCAGGATAATGATGTAAGCATATCACTCATTCTCATAAATATTTGTTAATAATTGGTCTGTTGCTTGGAATTAGATCCAGAGTAGCCTGAATATATGAGAAGTTCCATTTTGTGTTCAGGGACTTTTTATAAAGCTGAGTGATCTTTAAATTCAGATATTTTCCCAGCTACAGTGGATCTCTGTCTGTAGTCTGAGTGCAGAGATTTGGAATTTAAGGGACCATCTCAAATGGCAGACACCTCACTCTTCACAGCCCACAAAAGAAAACTTATCTGTTCAGAGCATGTCTGTTAGGAACTGTGATGCACAGGGAACGTACTACTTCGGATTGCAATATCTCATGTTAACATAGGATGCAATTTTCTTGGCACGCTCAGACTTCTTACGGTGGGCTCTCTTTGTGTCCAGAAAACATGTAGTACAGCTGAGCAGTAACGTTCGGTAAAGCTCTACTAATGTTGTTCTTGCTGAATTTGTTTCCCTGGTGAATATTCAATCTGTGTAATGTTTTAATGTATGCATATATGAAGACATTTGTGGGAAATATTAGAATGTGGTTGAATGGGAAGAAACCTTCATTTAAATCTCTTCAGTCTTGAGACTTGAGTTTTTGTATGGCCTATAAGGTGTTTGTAAGCCTCTGTTATAGGGTAGTCTTAAAAATTACAGAAGTGAAATGAATTATTGCATAACTAAACCTTTATTTAACTGCTAATTATTAACTGACTTTGTATTCCAGGATACCTGTTCTGGCACTCCCACCAAAGTTAGACATGTTGACTATCAAGCAGAAGGTGAATTTGACTTGGAAGTGTGTTTGAGTGAACCACCTAAAGATTTCGATACTGTGAATTAAACAGTCTCAGGCAAACTGTTTTAGAGGAAGTTGCTTTTAAAATTGAGAAGTTCGCTTGATTCATAAAGTGTTTATAATAAGACAGCTTAAGCTGAGTTGAAGACTGTTCTTAAAGCTGTGGTTGGCCTACATAGTCTCTGGACCAAACTTATTTAAAAATACAGTTGTGTGACTTCTTTTTAACTTTTAATTTATGTATATCAGATTTTTTTTTTTGTAATAAAACCCTTCAATAGAAAAAATAGCCAAAGGCAATGCTATCCTTAAGTAATTATAAATAGTTCTGCAAGATCTTACAGGATGGAGTTTTTTCCCTCATTGTCTCCGTAATTTGAGTTGTCCACCTGCAGGTCAAGGGTGAAGTAGGGAGGTAGTTTTTAGCCATCTGTATGTTACCTTGCTTTTCCATCTGATGGTACAAGGATCTGACCTGAAGTAGTACAAGTGGCAGCTGAGCCACACTGCTGACTAGTACTAGTAAACTCAGCTACTGCAGTTAGGTACTGTAAGACTAAACTGCTTTACCTTAAAAAAAAAGGGGGGGGGGGGGAAATTTTTTTTTTTTTGCAAAAATGTTTCTGATTGGCAATTAAATACTCTCAAAAAATTGGAGGTCAGTGTGGTAAAGCCCAGGCAATAATGGTTTAGGGAGCAGTAGCGTGAGTTTGAAATTTGTAAATAGTAATGAGTCATTTGTTAATACAGTCAAGAAAACGATGTGTAGGTAAAGTGCTTGATTCTTTTTAATTTGCTGATTTTAAATGTAAAACTGTTGTAAATGATAACACTGTACAGATTTTCTGCTGAAAGCAGTTAATGTTTCCTTTACTTCTGTATGGGATGTTGCTGGAAAATAAATGGAATTGCATTTACTTATGACTCTTCAACTTCCATTTCCTACTAGTGATGTTCTGCAGATGACAAAATGCAGGAAAATACTGAAAGCCGTGTCTCCGAGACTGATACCAGGCTAGGATATGTGCTTGTTAGCATCACCCTCCAACTTGGAGGGAGACCTTAAAAACTGTTTATTTGTCTGCAGCCCACTGGGGTGAATTTAAGACTTGGTTGTAACGGGTAAGCCTGCTGTTGACCTTCTGCAGACTCCTTACAAGAGGTTCAGTTCAGTAACTGGTTACCACGTGCTGGTCCCTAGAAAGAAGAGCTAGGTGATACTTCAAACCTCTTCACCATACAGGACCTTTTGTTAAAGTCACCTCAGCTGGTTTTATCTCTGAAATGGAATTTCTGGCTGTTGGTGTTAGAGTGCCATCAGGCTCAATGCAGACACTTAAACTTTCAACTCGAGTGAGTATCCTAGCTAGTAACATTACAGCTATCTAAGTTGTTGGGCAATCCTAAAATATGGTAGCTTGATCTCATGGGGAAACTTCCTAGAGGAAGCAGTGGCGTAGGGATAAGGGCAGAGCTATGCGCTGGTGTTATGGAGACAGCCTTGCTACCATGTATTTTTTCCAGAGAAGGCAGCAAAGTTAGTCTTGCTTACTACCTGGAGTAATACCATCTCTGGCCTCCTCATTGCTTTTCTCAGAGCGTGTTTTCTGGCCACACTGTCCCAGGTTGTTCTTAAGTGAGTTGTTTGTGTAATACTTAATTGTAGCTTATGCTGCAATTTGCTTTGGAACCCTTTCCCTGCACCTCTTCGATAAAAGTGGTCTTAAGGTTGAGCCAAACTTCCATGTCTAACTCGAATAATTTGATGCCTTTACTTAAGGCTTCTGTGTGATGGCTAAAGGGTTTAAACTAGACTTCCCAAGATATCACAATAATGGTTCTGAGTATCCCTGGATTTAACTTTGATGACAGACTTGGCAGACAATTGGATAAGAAGCTACTTGGGAACACAATGTCAAGCTGTGGCTACTTACTGTTAGGTTTTTTTCATGGTTAATACGTCTAATTTGCATCAGCCCCTTAGAGCTTACGCAGTTCTGTCTGTGCCATGTGATTGTGAGTAGCTGATGGCACTGAACTGTTTTCATGAGTGTTTTTTTGAGGATGGGTGTTACTCCTCAATGTTCTAAAGGTTGCTGATGAGTAACATGAAGCCAAGAACAAAACCATTCATGACTTAAGCCACAAATAGTTCATGTGGCTGCACATCATTCTAGCGTAAAGTAATAACCTTAAATGATGGTGTCTGAAAAGAGTACGACAAGATTTCTGTAGAAAACTACCTGTTGCATACCTGGGAACTAGCGTTTTGCGTCAACCTGATTCTGTCTTCGCAGCCTTGAAGCGCAGGTTGGTAGCCAACGCTCGGATCCGTCATGGTTTGCCTTTTACCAGGAGACACCGGCTGCTTGGGCGGCTACCACGCTCGCCGTAGCGAGAAGTAGTGCTCAAGCTCTCTGGTTGGGTGGTGTCATACAGGAGGGGCTACACGGCAAATTAGGTGATGGGTGAATTTGCTTCTATTCCTGCTATCCTTGACCTCCGGCTCTATCTAAATTTTGCACAAATAAAGTAGCAGAACTTTTCAAGGGTACACCCAAGCTGTTCAGCCTATCTTAAATGAACATCAGTCTGTAGGTACTAACAGGTACGTGTAGTTTGATCTCCCGAGTAACGTAGGCCCTAACATACCACCTTACGTAATCCTGGAGTGAATCGGTGACTTCAGTCCCGTATGTGGAGAACCAGAATGAGGCAGTGGCAGAGTCACTGTGCTAGGAGGGAAACAATCAGGTGAGATTTTTAGGGTGGGGCAGGGGTGGTGGTGTGCTAACCTGCAACGGGGTATGGGAACCGCCAGTAGGATGGTGTTTTTGGTTTTGTTTTTTTTTTTTAAAGCAGTTTTTCTACACTACTCCAGCTAGCCAAGCAGGCTGGATCAGTGGAATGACTATTCAGAAGATGGTTTAGAGGCTTCCAAAGGGTAAGGTCACCAACACCTGGCTTCTAAATAAGAATATTGAACGCAGTAATTGTCCACTGAGGTAGCTAGAGGAGATGCATACGTTTCAGAGATTATTGTACTAAAATTTGCTGCTCTGCTAGTCTGAAAAATGCCCATGTCTCTGAAAATCGCTATTTATGAAGCTTTTTCCATAACATCACAAGAAAATAGTAACTCCAGGAAGCATCCAGGTGTGGTGTCTGAGTTTGTTAATATGGTTCTTCATGAGAAGACAATACATGAACAAACACAAACAAAATCCTGTGATCTTTTTGAGTAATTTTGATTCTTTGTGACATTCCTTACGATTTTGTTACCTTCTGTGTAACTTCTGTGATGCGCTGGACGGCCCTATGTGGCTGCTCCTTCTGTGCTAATTTATCCCTTGTTTTCCTCAAATGTGCTTCGGTTAGCTTACGGATGACGTCACTCGTCTGGCTTCACTAGAAGGAAATCGGAGGCGCTGCTGAGCACACAGGCTCACCGAGGAGCTAGGTATGTGCTGATGAAACACTTTGGGCCCAGAAATGGAGCCAGTCCATGTTCCCGAGCTGTTAGTGCAACTGTTTGCCTAGTGGTGTTAGCGCCTGCTAACGGACTGATCCTATGGAAAAATAACATCGGTGTGTTCGGTTGTGCGTAGTTGCGTACAGTGAGTTTCTTCGGATGGAGAACTGGCAAGTACCACTGTCAAACTTGAGACTTATTAGGTTAAATCCCTTTAAAAATAAAAGTCAACAGGTCGTTACGTAGGCAGCAGAACCTGTCAACCCTGCTTTTACAGATTTGGGCCTTCTGTTCTGCGTTTCTCTTAGGCCCTTCGCCCCAAGCCTTGTCCTCTTTCGGCGCCCTTCGTACCGTGCCTGGCTACCTGCCCGCGGCCTTAGCTGTGGCCTTAGCTGTTGGGACTGGATAGTGGGTGCGCGTCTGCTGAGAGGGTGGCAAGCGGAATGCTGAAGGGCTGGGCTGGCCCAGCTTTTCCTTTACTTGGCCATGAATTGGCTCTTTGTCACACAGCTGTTGTCGCATAAAGCTTGAACATCTGTACCCTTTTGTTAAGCACCTGGGAAGCCAGTTCAAAAACTGGGGGGAGCAGGACCGATGTTTTAGGTGTGGCCAGGTGGCTCATGCAGAGAAAACCCCCGGGATGGGGGCAAGGCTTACACAGGGCAGCTGTGCGTGCGGGTCTGTGCGGTGGTCTGCTGGGGGATCGAGCATTCCTGTACCACAACCAGGCTGGTGAAAGAGCCCAGTTTTGAAATAATTTTGAACTTTTTGAAAGTTCTTACTCTTCTGTGTTTTCTTCTGTATGAATTCTCAAAATGGGAGAAGATCAGTTAATAACTCTATAGCTTTTTGAGTGCTTCCTGACAAATGAGTAATTTTGACAAAGTATTACATAAATAGAAAAGAGAGTGAAGTAACTTTGGGCTGTGTAAAAATTTATTTTCAAAGAAAACTGTGGTTAGGATGCAGTGTAAAATGACAAAGTGGTTAGGAGAGAAAGCAGTGCTGCCGAGCAGAATTTATTCTAGACCCGTAGTATTTAATTTTGTAGTATCTGGGTAGCACCTCAATAAAACGCGAAAGGAAGGACGATTAAGCCTCTGCTCCTTGTGGCCCCCAATGTGTTTTGGAATCACCAGTGCTGTTTGGTTTTTGAGCTTGCCGCTTAGCTCCCCTTGGGCTGTGTTTAAGTGCAAGAGCAACCTAATTTATCCAAAAAAGTGCCCATGCGTGCACATGGGTTTAAGTGGAAAGTTGGAACCTAGTGGGTGAAACTAGGTCCAGCTCTCTGTGCTGGAAGGTTTCTATCCAAGTTTCTGTTGAGAAAGTTCTGGGAAGGTAACTGGAATGGCTCTAAAAAAACCAAAATTTTGTGTTTCTTTAGAACGGGGCTGTTCCATTTCTTCTGAAAAATGCTTTGTTTTCAGAAATACAGAGATGAAGATTTGCACCCGTGTGTCCAGTCCGCTCTCGTGCGCTAGAATCGAAGCTGCTCTCCAATACTGCAGAGGGCAGCAGAAGTGCGTGTTTAATTACAGGCGCACAAAAGAGATCTCCGAGTTGCTTTACATTT